ACTAAAAAAAAAAATCGGTAAAAGGATTGACAAAACAAAAGGTTGGTTTATGAGAAGATAAGCAAAATTGACAAACGTAGAGTTTAAGCAACGGGGGGGGGCAGTGGTAGGAGAAATGACCCTAATATACAAAGCTAGAGGTGAAAACAATGCATTATAATTGGCACCACAGAAATTAGAGGGATTATTAGAAAATATTTTTAAGAGCGACATGCCAATAAGTTAGAAAACCTAGAAGAAATGGGCAAATTTCTGGATCCATATGACCTACCAAGATTAAACCAAGAGGCTATAAAACCTAATAGTCAGATAACAAGTGATGAGGTTGAATTGGTCTTTCACCAAAGAGAAGCTGGGTAGTGTGGCTTCCATGATGAATGGTTCCAAAATTTAAAGGAAGAACTAATGTCTACCCTAGTTCATCACACAAAGCAGCATTTTGCTGCTTACAAACCTGAAAAGGCAAAAATAAGACTCAGAGAGAGAGAGAGAGAGAGAGAGAGAGAGCACTACAAATTAGGATACTGAGTCTTTGACCTTTCTCAAACTGTGACGCACTTCTACCCTCAGAAGGGCTTTTCTCCCTTCAATAAACTATTTATGTCAGGGGCTCTAGTTGATGAAAAAAGTGGAGGAGAGGAGAGGAAGGAAAAAAAAAAAAAAAAACAAGTCACAAACTAATATCCATGATAAACGCAGATACAAAAATCCTCAACAAAATACTTGCAAATCAAATTCAATAGCATATTAAAAAGATCATATATTGGGGGCTGGAGAGAAATTGTTCAGAGGTTAAGAGCACTGGCTGCTGTCCTAAGTTTGATTCCCACCAACCACATGGTGGTTCACAACCATCTATAATGAGATCTGGTGCCCTCTTCTGGCATGCAGATGTACATGCAGGCAAAACAATGCAGACAAAACACTGTATATATAATAAATAAATAAATCTTAAAGGGGCAAAAAAAGGAAGGTCAGGCTAGAGAGATGGCTCAGAGGTTAAGAACACTGGCTATTCTTCTGAAGGTCCTGAGTTCAATTCCTAGCAACCACATGGTGGCTCACAACCATGTGAGATCTGGTGCCTTCCTCTGGTGTGCTGTATAAATAATAAATAAATCAATTTGGAAGGAAGGAAGAAAAGGTCATATATCAGCCCAGTAGTGGTGCACACCTTTAAATCCAGCTCCAAGGAGGCAGAGGCAAGTGGATCTCTGAGTTTGAGGCCAGCCTGGTCTATAGCACAAGTTCCAGGAAAGCCAGGGCTACACAGAAAAACCATGTCTTGAGAACAAAAACCAAAAGTAACCAACCAAACAAAAGATCATGTATCATTATCAGCTGGATTTCATTCCCGGGATGCAAGGATGGTCAAACGCATACAAATTATCCTATAGAAGGCGGCACAAAAATAGAAAGCATCACACTGAATGCAGAATCGTGAAAGAGAGGCTTGTCCCCTCTTCCTGTTCTTATCCAGCAGAGAATTTGGAATCTTAGCCTGAGCAGTTGGCCAGAAGAAAGACTGGGATACAAGCGTGAGAGGGAGCGTCACACCATCTTTTGGCGCACATAATGCGATTTGATTTCTGTGCTTTGAAAGTCCTGAGGACTCTACTGCCAGACTCTCAAACCAATAAGCAAATTCAGCAGAACAGCAAAAATAGAGAACCAAAGTGCAAAAAATCAGTACTGTTTCTTTTTTGAGACAAGGTCTCAAACAGGTAGCCCAGGCTGGCCCCACACTCTGAGTCTTCCCGCCTCCTCTCCTTGATGTTGTGATGACAGCTGCGTTCCATCCTGCCCGACAGTCAGTAGCTTTTTCCTACACCAACAATGAGCCTCCTGGGAGAAAAATTAGGAAATGGTTCCGTTCATAAAAGTGTGAGACTCAGCCAGGCATAGAGTTAAGCTGGAAGAGAGAAGACTTCTACAAGAAACATTACAAAACACACCGAAGATAGACGTTAAGGACACGTGGCGATAAAAAACACAGGGGTTGGGAGAATTAATGTTGCTATAATAGCCTAGTCCAGAATGGGTCCTACAGACTCAGTGCCATCAGTATCAAAATGACAGTGACACTATTCATACGACTGGAAACAAATTCTCAAATTTATATAGAAGCACAATGGTTCCTTATAACCAAAGCAATCATGAACAGAAGAAATCTTGGCAGTAACACAATACAAGATTATAAGGCATGCCACGGAGGGGCTCAGAAGAGATGGCTCTGAGGTCAAGAGCACCAGATTCTCTTCCTGAGGACCTGGGTTCGACTCCCAGCACCCACAGCTGTGGAGTAACCCAGTAATCCCAGTAAGCCCAGCTGTGGAGGATCCGAAGCCTTCTTCTAGCCTTCTTGGTCACCATGCATGCATGTGGTATACAGACATCCATGCAGACAAAAGACAAACAAACAGAAGTCATCCAAACACACAAAATACATTTTTAATAGACGTACAAGCCGGGTGTTGGTATCACAGACCTTTGATCCCAACACTCAGGGAGGCAGAGGCAGTTGGATCTCTGTGAGGCCAGCCTAGTTTATAGAGTTCCAGGACAGCCAAGGCTACACAGAGGAACCCTGTCTCAAAAAAAAAAAAAAATCAATCAATCAAAATTAATTAATTAATTAACTAGTTCATTGATTAATAGACATACTGTGGGGTCACAGTAACAAAACGGCATGGTGCTGGCACACAGCAGACACACAGGCCGATGGAGCAGGGTCTAAGGCAGATGCTCGTCCGGAAAACAGATTCCTATCATTTCAATCTAACCTCTCCACTTGCTGCCGGCGTGTTCTTTCCGCTCCGCCTATGGCTGCGACCAGTCTGCCTCCCTGGGCAGACAGCCATTTACCTTAAAGTTTTGCCTTGAGAGATTTCAGCTCTCTGCCAGGTACGACAGCACAACCCTGCGATCCCAGTATGTGAGGGGTGAAGGCTGCAGGGTCTGGAGTCCAAGGCTGTGTTGGCTTGCACACCTGGCAGCCCTAGATACGTGAGAGAGACAGAAACGGGGGGAGAAGCAGAGATAGGGCGATGCTGAGTTCAGGTCTCCTCACTCTGATCACAATCTGGGCAAGCGAGATACAAGCACGTCTTCAACCCAGTCCACCATTGGTATGCCGCTGACCCAGAGGCCCCAATTTCTGTAGTTGAACATTTCATATTGAACTCGGAACTGAAAGCCAGTGTTGTTAATCATGGACAAATTCAGGGGACCTCGGAGGGAAGTCTGTCAGGAAGTGTCCTTAACCTGAGATGGCCAGAGAAATTCAGCGCTGGATTAGGCGAGGGCCTTTATCTTTCCATGAAATCCTTGCCCTGGTGGAGACAGAAA